TTAATACATGATGTTTTTTTTTTTTTTTTACTGTTATACGATACCTGAAATCTTTTTCCGCGATATTTCTTTGAAAAGTTTTCAGTGTCTTATCATCGATCCAGCCAAAATGACGTTCGCTTGAACGTTTGTAAAAAATGTTGAACCTTGACAAGAGAATGGGATTGAAAAGAACACGTCGGTGTTTTGCATCGACATTTTGCATCAGAACAATGCATTCTCTTTCTACGCGAAAGTTTTCTACTACCCCAAAAACACTTTAGTTTCTCCCAGTACTTGCCTTCGCCGCCAAACAGTAACTTCTTTCCTTCTCGACAGACTGAGGAATCACCCGAAAGGACATTATTTTGAAACGATCGATAACATCCAGAACGCCGTAACCGAATCCTTCGAAGAAGAAAACTCGCGGTTCACTCCTCTGTAAGAGAAGAAGAAGTGGGGAATTTCGCGAGGAATTTATTTTCAAGGAGACAATCGAAATTGCTTCGAGGTCAGAAATCCACGTACATACGTCAGAAACTGTCAAAGAAGATCCGAAATAGATCAAACAAATAGTTATTTTATTCATTTTTCTCCCCTTCCTTTTTTATTTACTTTATTTACTACGATAAGTTTCGTAAACGCTGAGAAATATTTACATTTTTTGCTTATTTTTATTTTTATTTTTTTTTTAACCAAAAAGGTAGATAAAAATTAAAAATTTGTTAGCGAACGTTTTCGATGTTATTATCTTTGCAGACAAAACTCGATTCCAGAAAGTTCGTAGGAAGTGCGCCCACTTGCCGCCAATTTTCCGACACTCTGTGTACAACAAGCTTTGGTGGATGGTCGAATTAAATTCGACATTTATTTAACTTTTAACTCGATGCGGTTTAGGTCACACGCGAACGCGAGTACACGAACGCGGGCTTTCAATTAGCGTGCAAGCTCACGCGCGACCCGATGTTGCATTTGCGCTTCCGGATTCACGGTTTCCGGTGCTCGGTTTTCCGACCGCTGATCCCGGCAGTTTCCTCGTTAAAAATTGGCGAATCAGAGAATACGTTTTAGAATGTAAACTGAGTGATTTATTGAGTTTCTAAGCCGCAGCTGTCGCGCTTGTTAAAACGTAAAAGATTTTTTAGTTCTCAAAGTTATATAATAAATATATATATATATATATATGTATGTTATAATTATTATGATTTTCTTATAACTGATTATATTAATATGTCTCATTACTTTAGAGAATAAATCTAGATAATCTAAAACCAAAAAAAAAAAGAATATTATAAAGGGTGTTTTTTTAAGCCCGATAGAACTTAAAATTGTAAAAACTAACGCAAAAATTAAATTATAATAAAAAAATTTTTTTTAGTCGAAAGATCAATGCATGGCATTAACATTTGAAAATGATTTCGGGCATATGGCCACCGCGGCTGTTTTTAATTTAATTTTTCGTTTTATTTTTTACAATTTCAAGTTCTATCGGGCTTAAAAAAACACCCTTTATAAAGTTAAAATTAGGATATACATCTATTAATAAATGAAGCCGTAGAATAACATTTTACGTATTTTTTGGCGAATTTCGGATTGATTTTTATTCGAAAGGTTGATGGATTATTTTTATTTTTCGTAATATTTTGAGTATATGAATCTTTAATATTTTACCGTGTATGCGAAACGTGCTGAAGTGTCCGCTACAAAAAAAAGCTGCCGGTTTTCCTTTTCTCGCTGTCGACGTAATGCCGCTTTAACGGGTTGACACTTTTCAGAAGCAGCGTAATAAAGGAATTTTTGTCGCGGGGAAAAAGTGGGAAAGAATGGCCACTGTCGAGCTAAGTAAGCTTGACCGCTGCTTTCTGTTCTCGACGTGCAGTTACGAAGTTTCCGCTAGAATTCGTGCCACCTCGATCGACTTTCGATGGCGATAGCGAGGAACAAAGGAGAATTTCGATAAACTACAGCGACTGGGCTGGTCTAAGTGAAGTCTCATCTATGTGATAATGAACGATACGAATAAAATTGGGCGAATGTCCGTTGAATTGTGAATTCAATTGCAGTAAAAACCCGGACCTTTACGAACATAATGTGAATTGGTTTTTCGCTTTCAAACGAACAGCCAGGAAATCAAGTAATTGACATGAAATATTTAAAAAAACGCGAGTAAAACATAAAATAGCCTACGGATATTTGGCGACGTGATATAAAAGCTCTCGGAATTTGGAATAAATGGAAATACAACGAGACACGGTTAGAACGTAGGGCCAATGAAATTGCGCAATTTCTTATTGTAGTTGTTTACTATTATTATTATTATTATCCTTATTATTGTTATTATAATTACAATTATTATTACATGCATCACACGTCGATGAATACCAATTATGTTGTTCCGTAATAAATCGCGGATGTTTTCCAGCATCAACATAATTAATTTATAATTTTAAAAGATCACATTAATTATTGCGCGCCACCGAATTATGAAAAGTTTGACTGATTTCCAGTTAAACTTCTCTTTCCTCTCATTCCATTTTCATCCTTTCTCTTTTACGTAATTCCAGAATGTTACATTTCGAACGTTTAATTGATATTGTAGTTGCCGCAGTTTCGAATGAATTGGGAGATCCTCTACTTTTTTTCCGAAGCCAGTCTATAATGCATATCTTTTGTCCGCAATTCTGTATCGCGGCCGCTATTGTTCCACAGCTTTCGCGCTTTAAAGTTTAAATTGCGAGTGAGCGGACGTTCAGCGTGGTGGATGAGCTTGATGGAGAAACGGGCCGTTCACGATTATACACGCGAAAGGTGGAAGCCAAATATTTGATGGACATCGTAACTTTTGGTTGAATTCGCAGTCACGCTGTGAAACAAAAATCGCCATTTTTCCCCGCTGTTGCATGTCAAATTGCAAGTTACTGTTAGGCGAAATCGAAACTCTAAAATGTACAGTGGAATAATAATTCTATCTGACGGTTTTTTTTTTTAAATTGAGATAGAATTTTGCAGAAATCCTGTCACTATAATTTTTAACGAGATTTCATATTATTATTGTTGAATTACTCGTATATTATTGTCATTGAACATAATTATTTATTTGTCTTTGATTATTTTTGGCATGCTCGTTATTTTTTAATTACGAAATTAATTCATTTTTCAAGGACACGAATATACGTGTATTGATTTCATTTTATAAATTTAATATAGAGCTTTTTTTTTAATTAAATGAATTATTAAATACTGATAAAAATATATTTTTCCAAACATCGCACAAATATTTTAATTTTATTATCGATAATTTCGAGGATAATTTTTACAATAAAAAATGCATTCTGAAATTTGACATAATAGTTCTGATTTTGTTACTACAATGTTGTGCAATATTTGGAAAGGATTTTTCCTATCAATTCGATTCGAACGAGAGAGAGAGAGATTCGGGTCAAATCAATAACTTTCCTATAAACTCAAATGAGGCTCGTTCTTTGTTCTACGATTGATTCGTTTTCGTTAGTAGCCTGCTAGTCAAGTAACGATGTCGATTATAATGGGGTATCGATTAAAATAGCCACGTTACTCTAAGGCACGTTGAATTTTCGTTAAACTTACACATCAAAGACGTATAGTGTACGATTACAAACCCCTCGTGATTGTAAAAAATAAAAAGAATAAAAAAAAGAACTTGAGCCGGTTCTCTCGGCACTTTTCTGACGAAGCAATAAATTGCAGGTCTCTTTGTACGTCAATACGACGCATACTTTAATTCATCTTCGTTTAAGTATCGTTCAAATTATACTAAATAAACCGTATACCATAACAGAGATTATTCCTTTTATGAAAAAGTATTAAAAAGAAAATCGATTTTTTTATTTTATTTTATTTTTTATTGAAAAATAAGAGTATTGATAAAAGTATACTTTGGTACTTATAGTCCTTCTAATTCTTCAAAAGTAGGCTTATCGCGAATCAATGATCTCTGACAGAGTTTCCATACAGAATATTTCACTTTGCCTTTTCGTTTGTCGATGCTCCCTAAAATTTCTTTTCAAGCTTAGAGTTCATTATACATCGATCCTCTGGAGTCCGGGCTCTTTACATTGATCCATTAGCATAATAGTATAATAGCACTGGGCGCGTTTTAAGGATATATCATTGAGATACCCCTTGTGAGCAAACGAAAGGCGATTAATATTTTGTGAATGCTAAACGTCATAAACATCGACTCCATTGCTGATTTAATCTTTCTCTCTCTCCTCCCCTCCCCCCCCCCCCCCCCCCCCCCCTCTCTCTCTCACACGAGATCTCTTACAATGCTGCACGGATATCAATTTTACGACAATACGACATGTTAGACAAATACGGAGCTTAAGGTACCGAGTGCGAAAACAATATCGACGGCACATGTCTAGAAGAACCGGATAAGATTCATGGGAGTCGGGAAAGTGGCTCGGGAGGAAGAAAACGTGGATAGAAAAGCCACGGTAAAACGAGTTACGCGCGTATGTTTCATACCGAGATGTGAGATGTCGAAACGATCAGTGAATTTCGGAAATTGACCAAGATTTCTTCACGCTATTTCACTTATCGTATCACAATGTGGTCCGGATTCTTTGATTTCGAAAGGGAGTTAATGGTTAATTCTTTGCGATTTGTTCGCGAATCAAATTACTGATGAATTTTTTGAATAATTCTTTTCCGATCCCAGTTCAACAAGGACGTGAGGAAATAAATGAGTAATTTTACATTTAATAAAGATCACCATTTTATAAGTATCGTTTAAAGTTTCTATGAAAAACTCGTAGACGATTAGAGATTAATTCATTACGATCCGATTGGGAATTAAGTCTATAACTGTTAGACTTATTTTCTTTAAGCTTATCGAGAATTAGTGGGAATGATATTTTTTAATCTTACTCTCAATGGAAATTATAACTTTTAATACTTTAGATATCTGAGAAGAGTCCATCTTCTGACAAAAAAATGAAATTAAAAGAAAGAAATAAGAGGAATTGTATTTATTGCAGATACAATGAGGTAGTAAACTGTTCACGGAGCACCTGGTGAGAGGTGGGTTTTTAGCACGACGGACGATATGTTTCTGTCGAGCCGCAGCGGCCGAAAGGGGCCCATCGCTTGTCTGGTGGGCCTCCTCCTCATCTTCGCTCTTTATCAACTGGGCATTATTTGCGACTCCACCAGGTACATGCCCACGGCCATGATGGTCAGCAAGGAGGTAAGAACCAACCCAGACACTTCAACCAATCTAGTATAATCCTTCATTTGATAAAAATTACATTATTTTTCCGATTACTCAACACGAGATAAAGAGGGCAAATTCCTTCTCGATTAAATGAAGCAGATGAATTCGAGAAAACATTAAATATGTAATTAAAAAGGCATCCTTATATATTTCTATTAGAAATCCTCTCTAAGAGAGAAATTTTAATTGGCCAATTTATAACAGCTTTATTTTATTTTCTCTCCCTTGGTTCTCCTCGTCCCGGCACGATAATAACAATAATAATTAATCGAAATGATAATATAATACGAGCGTGGTGTATTATCGCGGCTTGCGCGGCAGTGTCCCTACATTATTAATCGGCAATTAATGGCTGTCAAAGTATTAATTGTGTCCAGTTGTTAAAAGCTCCGTTTTACGCAAATATTGAATCTGAATGAGTTTACCAATCGAACGATACGTGGCCCGGCAATGAGATTCGTGGAAGGAATTCATTTAAATTCGAATATACTTTGCGTTTAAATTAAATGTTATCTCTTCTTTTCTTCGAAGTCGAATCTCCTCTGCTGCGCGCTTTATACATTTATTCTGACGATGTTTCTCCGCTGTTAGAAGTACAATCTTTCAATTGAAATAACAATTGAAATATCGGTCGGAAACTTTTCTCAACTCAATAAATTCACTCAGTTCGTCTTTCGACATTCTCATGATTTTTGTCGTAAGTTTCTTCCTAAAAATTTCGTGACCAGAAACTTTGTTGTTGATTTTCAACTATCTCTCAACTTTTTCAATGCGACGCAGAGATACTTTATTAATAAACTTTTCGAATTGAATAAACATACATCCACGTGCTTAAAAAATATCACACATGTAAATATCATTAAAGTCAAATAGAACAATTAATTTCTTATTTTAAAGTGGTTTGTCTAAAAAAATGTCAAATGTTATAATTGATGTAACCTATTCCTTCATCCAAAAAAAATCTAACGTGAAAGAGTTAAGTGACAAAAATTATTGAACAAATGGCTTACATTATTGCAAACGTATATATGTACGAAGAAATGAAAAATTATCTCATCGCGTTACGTATCTTGTCGCACTTCCGTTACTGCCAGATTAGGAGGGAAAGAAATGTGTCTACGAACTTAAACTGTCAGGCCACGTATTAGCGAGCGGGCAACTGCAACTCCTGAAGCTTCATCTTGGCCTTAATCAACGCCAAACTGCCGCTACCGAGCGCAGAGAAAGGGATGTCCGACGTTCCTGAAGAATAGTTCGACGAACTTGCTCCTACCGACGAAGTCGATACACCGACGACGAGTCTAACTTCCGAGCCAATTCCGCGTCTTTCCCGATCTACTTCCGCTGACGCGACTTGCAGGCGCTTTTATTAATTTTCTTGTAGACTTACTTTAATTGCGTTAAGGTAGTTACGGTAAAATACCGGAACGAACGACGAGTAAGAGTTTATATCCCACTTACTTATGAGCGTAACTCGGTGAAAAAGTATTTTTTTAAGTACGCGCTTATATCAGTTATTCAACGAAATAGCGATATGTGTTGCTAGCAAAACTGAATAGATGTATAACTTTTTTTTTAGTAGGAATATATGATTAAAGTCATAATTTTTTAAATTAAAGACGATAAAAAATATAAGGTATTTTAAATATAAGGTGACTTAACTTTACAGTAAATAAATAACAGAATTTTATTTTTCGTTTAATTTCAAGTCCAGAATTCACGTAAATAAAATTTTAATCAGATATATATATACAGTTGCTGAAGTATTTGATGTTAAAAGTTCAAAGCATTAAAAAGGTCAGCAGACGAATTTTTGTTATATAAACCACTTTTCAGTGGCCTTTTTCGAACGACAAAGAACGAAATTGACTAGCTTTAAAGTTTGCTTTAGACGATCTATAATTCGCTTCGGTTCACACAGGAATTTTGTTTATAATTTTTTCTCACGTGTATTTTGATACTTGCATTTTATTATATATGTTGTATGCGCATATTTTGATTTTTCCGTTGTATTACACTACATATAAAATTATGAATAAAATTGTATCTTGAATTCCGACACGAATTCCGAAGATCGTCCAAAAGCAGACTTTCAAAAAGCCTTTAGGTTCATTAATATTTTTCTTTGATTGTTATATTATAATCTGGTGAACAGAAATACGTGATCGGGCCGTTTGATCGCAAGACGTACACGTACGATCGTTACATGCCACTCATTTTCATCGGTGGTGTACCACGATCAGGTACAACCCTAATGCGTGCCATGCTGGACGCGCACCCTGACGTGAGGTAAGTCGCAATCATTATTTAAAATGATAAATTTGTTGAAATAAATAAATAAATACACATTAATTGCATTCAATTAAAGCATAAAGCATTGGAAGCGCATGAAAAGGATAATTGTATTATCGTGCAAACGTAGGCATTTATAAACTTGTATTGATCTCGAATTCTATAGCTGATATATTTATCTCTCTCTCTCTCTCTCTCTCTCTCTCTCTCTCTCTCTCTCTCTCTCTGTTTCTAGGACAGCATTAATATATATGTATATGTATTTATAAATATTCATCTCCCAACGCAAAAGAGAGCAAATAAATTTATATCCATATGATATAAAAGCATTATTTGTGTTGAAAAATAAAATTTGTTATCGCCAAGATAATATATAGATATTTTAACATATATATTAATAATGGTATTAAAATACACACATATATTGAGATACACGCGACATATAAAATTAAATTCTGAAATCTGATACGAATTATAGATTTAGAATGACCTTAAAATGGGGATTGTATTCGATCAAATATCTCTATGGATTTTGTTCAAGATGTGGACAGGAGACCAGAGTTATACCAAGGATTCTCCAGATGAAGATGCACTGGTCCAAGTCCGAGAAGGAAAACGTGCGGCTCACTGAAGCGGGGATCTCGAAAGAGGTAAGTCTGCGTTCTGAAAAGCGCGGAAAAGGGTATATTTCAGCACTGAGACAGATCTGAATAATTTAAGTATCGTTCAACGAAAAAATTTGCAGCAGGAAAAAGTTTTCAGCGTTTGTCCTATTTTATCGAGAGTAGTATATTTCTCTTGCGCTCTTAAAAAAGGCCAAGGAGTGCTCTGTAAAACTTCTCGCTGCAACGCAGCATATATTTATTCGGATGCTTACCTCGATATTTAAATGCGCATCCCTCTCCCCTAAAACTAAGTAAGGATAAAAATTTGCATGCGTAGTTTGAATAATTATATCATAATAATTATATCGCGACGTGAAATTATAAAGTTTGCTGTTTCATGTGAATCCTGGTTCACATAAGCTGATTGTGTTAGTTCAAGAGGATGATGTAAGATGTTCACAGTAACTTCTCCAAACTCTTCATCTCTCATGAATAATTAAAATTAAAATTTACGCATATGAAACTTGAGAGGGGCGTTTTACGACGAAACGAAGGAGTATTATTCGGGACATGAAATATCGAGAATATGCTATTTTTCTATAGGTGATAGACAGCGCGATAGCGGCGTTCTGCTTAGAAATAATAGCACGACACGCTGAGCCCGCGCCGAGGTTGTGCAACAAGGATCCACTCACCCTGAAGATGGGCTCGTACATCCTCGAGCTCTTCCCGAACGCAAAATTTATATTCATGGTCCGCGACGGACGCGCAACGGTGCATTCCATCATATCCAGGAAGGTAAAAAAAAAAAAAAAGCTTTACGTAACGTTACGTTACTCTCTTTTTTTCCAAAAATATGTTTGGTTGTTCGACAGTTATGTCATTCTTGTGTCGAAATAAACTTTAAATAAAAATTGCTGATTAAATTTTGTAAGTAAAAAACTTTTTTCTATTAATTGCTTTTTGCGTTTTTTTTTTCTAATTTTTAATATTGCAAACCATTATAATTACAGCATACCACATTCCATCAAATATGTTCCTTCGCATTTTAAATACACATTTTTTAAATTATAGAATGCAAGGTTTTCCATTCAAGATGTATATTACACACACAATTTTATATATATATATATATATATATACATATATAAAATAGTACAATACGATTCTCCCAGTGACGCCTTCTCTTCATAGGTCACCATAACGGGATTCGATTTAACGTCGTACCGGCAGTCTCTCATCAGGTGGAATCACGCAATTTCCGTAATGTACGGTCAATGCAAGGAACTGGGACCTGAGAGATGTCTGATGATTCCTTACGAGCAGCTGGTGCTACACCCACGTCAATGGATGAAGAAGATATTAAACTATTTGGACGTGCCGTGGAATGAATCTGTCATGCATCACGAGGAATTCATTAACAAACCCGGCGGAGTGCCTCTGAGCAAGTAAGCGAGAAGAGTGGAGGAAATAGCAGTGCATTTAGACCTAACAGTATTCCGGGATTCGAGCGAAATGCATGTACACACGTTAAAATAATGCATTAAAATAATGTCGTTAATCCTGAATATGTATTAATGTAATAATATAATGCATTTCGTATTAATAATGCGAAAATGATGTGACAGTGTAACAAAATAATCCTTCGTGTTATTAATATCAGAACAATAATACGATAAATTAATTTTTCGCATTATCAGCATTAAAGTAATATTTATACAATGTAGTAGAATGACGTTTTGTTAAATTAATATAACGAAATTAATAAATGTGTATATAGAATATGACGTTTCATATTATTAATGTCAAAATCATGTTTGACCAACAGGGTCGAGAGGTCATCGGACCAAATCATAAAGCCTGTAAATCTGGCAGCGCTAACCAAATGGGTCGGTAACATTCCCGAGGACGTGGTGAGGGAGATGGCAGACATCGCGCCAATGCTCTCCGTACTCGGCTACGATCCTTACGCGAATCCACCCGTTTATGGCGCACCGGACAGTTTAGTTAGCGACAACACCAGACGGTACGTTCCCATTTGTTACGCTGCATGGCTGTTACAGTTGTTGCATATAGTATTGCTCACAAGCGATGTATATTCAAACGGTGTACCGTGAACCGGAATTAAATCGAAATTGGACGAAATTATTTTGACATGTTACAGGGATACAAAGCGAGATGGACGTTACAGTCGAGCTTTCAAATTAATCAAAGATTCTTAAGTAAAAGATTTTTTTCCACCAAACCAAACTTAATTTGAACTGAAGAGAATCATACAGATTTTTGTCAGTATTCACATCAAATAGTATTATTTATCGATTAATCATTGTTTATTTAATTGGATAATCTAAGATAGCTTTTTAATATGGTGTTAAATTATTCTTTACAAGAGCGAAAATAACGCCTGATTTAATGATTTATATTAAAAGATTTTCTAAATATATGCGATTTCTGAAGGAGTAAAAGCATCATCTGTGAATTCTAACCGAAGTTATGAAAGCATTATAATCGTTCGGTTAACATATATTCAATTTCTGCCTTTCAGAGTGTTGGCTGGCGAAAAACTCTGGGAGGAGAAGGCGCGGGCGTACCATTTATCGCATAGGCCAATCGAGAACAGCAACGAGGAAGCTGCTTCCAGCACAGCCCCAGTCGCGTGACCCCGCGTGATTCTCATAGACACGAACGACACGTAACCGACTACCAACCTAAGTCCCATCGATTTAGGATTCCCGCGTATACGGAGAGACCACCCTCTTGTTTACTTTCTAAGTAAACTCGGTCTCGCACGACTGTGAATCGCGTCGTGAATTAATCGCCCTTGTCGTATTTTCTCAGTCTCCGTTATCGCATCGCGGCAACGATAAATTAATCGATCATTCCTCGCGACGCTTATTTATTCGCATCAGGATCGCGCTTCACGAAGACAGATGACGTAATGTACTAAGCCGTGACTAGAAAATAGGATGCACCCGAAATAAGCGGTCAAACTTCGAGAGACGGGCTATTCCGTTATTTGACAGTTCGTGAAGCATCTATCAAGCGTTCCTTCTGCGACACGCCCCCTTTAAAACGAGAAGAAGCGCAAAGTTCTAAGATGAAACTTCTATGAATTTTCTCAGCGTTCTCGCTGTATTCTACCGCAGACGAAAACTGTGGGAGCAAGTATCTATAACTCGGAAAAAGAGAGAAACAAGACACATAATCGTATGATTTTTTCGTCTTCAAAACAAATAGAATAAATTCCTAACGTTTGGTCGTTTATTTGCGGACTCTCCTGTATATTATTACCGCGCGATAACTATATAATATATATAGTTATAGTAATATTTTTAATAATAAAACTATTAATTTAAAAGGTTTGCTGCAATTACGAAACAAATCTACATAATTTCATTTAATATATTTTATATTTAAAATAGATTTCACGAATTATTGTAACAAATTCAATATTAGACAAATTTATTTTTGGTAAATAGTTTAGGAGATCCCTCTGCCCTCCCCCCAATGATCTTGACCTATGTTGTCGAAGTCATGACTCTGAGTGACCTTGAGAAAGTTTTAACCATCGGACATTACTCATCAGAGTCATCAAGATCATGACAATATATGTTAAGATCAAGATCATTGGGGGGGGGGGGAGGATTCCCCTAAACTATATATTTACCTTATTTTTAAATTAAAAAATAAGAAATATTTAAAAAAGAGCTTTTTATTAATTACTTGTCATCGTATGACAAACATTCATTTTCCTAGCTATTTTATAAATAGCATTACAAATGTCGTAATGTTATGAGTTGGACCTTAAATTGACGGTACCATCATTGTCTACTATCTATAGTCAAGAACAATAAGCGTGAAATGCGTCGCACTAGCGATAAAGCAACCTCGAATATTATGTATTATGAAGGATCGGACCCTAATAGAGATTTCAACAAGTTGAATTCTGTAGCTCTAGAAAAATACGAAGAATTTTATAATTATCACGTTTTTATGTTACAACAATTTTTCAATATGAGAATCATTTTTATATACTCGTAGAAAGCTTTAACATTAAGTTACGGGTTCGGCCTTCTTTTATTAAATGACATCGATCAATAACGGCCAGTGATTTTAAAGAGAAGTGTTTAGAGTATTTAACAAGAGACATACTTCAAACGTGTAAAGAACGGGAGAGTAAAACTTCTCTCTTTTTTTCCCTTTACGAATAAAGTCTCTGGTTGGTCGGTCTAGGATAGATATAATCCAACGCGAAATTCTAAAACAATTCAACGTTAAATGTGATTATCCGGTACACGGGGTAAAATTATGCAAAAATGAGTTAACCTGTCAAAGTGGTAATTTTAGATAAATTAATTTGAAAAAACCCCCCCGAGTCTCATGTTGCCGACACAGCAGCGTTGGACTAAGTACACGCAACTTATATTTATTCTTTTTTTGTTCTGGGTAAACTCATTCATGCATAACACCATCCAATTAACGTATGCATGTCTACAAAGTTCGCGTACTGGTGTTTTTATCCTCCGTACCTCCACCGTATCGTTTTACTACTTATTGTAACGAATTCACGTGAAATTAAATGAAATTTTTCATGTTCGCCATATTTTTTAGATAGCGTAATTCATCTGTGGCGTTTTTAAGTGGACCTTTTCGGTCGGTATCTATTTAAAAAAATAATAAATTGCAAATATATTTCTGATATATAATATTAGAAATTAATATTAGATTGGTGTCAAAGCTTTATCATCAAAGAAAGTCAAAACTAAAACAGTTTTGTATAGAGTTTTATTTCTATCAATCAAGAAATAGAAACAGAATTCACAAAATTAAAAATAATTTTCCTTAAATTTTCTCTTTATAAATAATTTAACATTCTTCAATCTTTAATTAGAGAATAGAGTTTAATGGAAGGATGGCAAAGCTTTCAAATCAATTTGATATTTATGTAAGTGTAAATAATATCCGTGAACTCAACCAATGGTTGTTTGGTTGTGGTACATTTTTGTTCATGGACTTTCCGAGTTATATTATAATTTTAAAAAAGGAACAACACCGTTATGATAGCAAATGGCAGCAGACATGCATAAGCTTGTCGAAATCTATCTGTCAAAGTGTGCAATTAAATTATTTTAATATTACATTGTTCTGTTATATCCAATCCTTGTTCCTCATTTTACCTCTAATCGGAAAAAGAGATAACAATTTATTTCAATATCACGTAATTTTACCATAAAATTAATTAATATAAATAGAATATTTTAAATCATTTATTTCAATTATTAATTTATTATTACAAAAAAATTAAATTTCCATAAATTTAATTTTGAAGTCAATGTACGTAATTAATCTCGTGAAAATGAAATATTTTATTACATGAGAATATTAATGATATACAAATCCTTTTAACGATAATAACATTACTATATCATTACGGATATTAATGTCTTAACATAATTATGCGTATATTGACACAATTCTCATTATTTATTTGCGTAATTTCAAATAATCTTAAAAATTATGTATTATTTAAATACTGTAGGATAAGTTGATTTTATAGATTCAAGGAGTTATATTAAAAATAAAAATCAATTTTTAGTGTACATTGAGTAAACGTCTTAAATCTCAAGAACAATATATAAAAATATATTTTTTATTATTTTATTTACTAATTTTTATCATAAATTTTTGATTTTTTAATAAAAATTCGATAACAATCTTCATGTTACATAGTTTCTAGGACTTTCGATATTTCGCCTGTACCCATATTCTATACATTTTCAACTGTTTACCTCTATTAACTTGCAGCCTTCTGTCCATGAAGTTTTGTTCCTCGACGAAACCATTATCGGTAAATAATTTTCTAATATCCTCTGAAAAAGTCAATATTTTAACAAATGAACCGTTACGAGCATCAATTATTAATGATTTAACAGATAATAATTCTAATTTGGAAATAGTAATATATAAGATTTTTGTTCATATAGCAATAAGAATAATATATTCAGATTACAATACTAATATAACATTTTAAAGTTTACACACCTTGAGAAAAAAAGTATACTCTGGTGCCATCTCCACGTACATAAAAATTCTCACCGAGGCAATTGCCCTTCTTAAATCTTAATTGCGCTAAATCGTGTCTGCCATAATCTCGAAATAAAATTATTCCACCTGATTTAAGATACCTGTACATTTGCCGCATAACATGATGCATCCTACAGAATATATCGAGAAAAATATTAATTACTTTCTTTTCTCTATCTTTTTTTTCGAAAACTCTATTTTAATTTTCCACATAATATTGATATTTATATAATTTATAAAATTTGTGATTAGTTTGGAAATATACAATTTGTTCATCTCAATTTACAGATTTGTATATATATATATATAGGATACTAATAATTAGTAATATTAAACTTACTTGTCAGGATGAATGGCAGATAATACGAATATAAGAACGATGATATCTAAACTTTCAGGCTCAAAAGGAGTCGTCCACATTTCCTGAGTTACGTCCAAAACAAATGCTTTACATCTAGAACAAATAAATGTACACATTATGTGGCGTAGATAACTTACACTACCATATTTTTTATTAAATGTTAAATAAATTTAGATAAATTTTTAGAAAACTTTACCTATCTACATTATATGCAGGATTTTGTTGTAATATATTAATAGCTTTCGCCGAAAAATCACAACAATATATAAACAGCTTCGGGTCTGTATTATACATGAGTATAGGAAATACAGTATTTCCTACACCACATCCTATTTCTAATATTCTACAGTTATCTTTACATGGTAAATCGAGAATTTTTATGTGTTTTTCACTACATTTTTTATCTTCATCTGTAAATGCGGCTCTCATGGGTCTTTCCGTGTCCTGTTTTACAGTATTGGGCGCTAGTTCTGGAAACTCTATCAGCAACCAATGCCTATCTTTAAAAAACCTACAATAATAAATGTATTAACTAAAAAATTCATTACACTGATTCATTGTATGAAATATATAATATTAGATTGATTACATTATCTAATATTCTAAACAGTAGAGTTGCTTAGACCGCATACATACCCGTTATTATGTACTCCATAAAATTTGTCCCAATATTTATCTGCTTCAGTTTCATATTTAAAAAGTTGCTCGGATGACATCGTAACAGTGGAATTTTCATCTACTTTCTGTTGTGCTAACTTCTCTTGTTCTTCATCCCATGTAACATTATCCCTTTTAGAAAAGCAAATTCAATCATTAAGTATTCAATCATTAAGAAATAGATATATAGAATAAACAAAATTGAGGCTTTATTACTCTTTCCAATCAAATAATATAATATAAAACAGAACATATTAGCAATTATATAAACAGATTATACATATAAAATTATATAATTTTATTATATTTAATAAAATAAATTTATTATATAATTTATTATTACATTTAATAAAATAAATTTTAATGAACGAAACAGAAATGAAATAAACGATAAACGCTCAAGTAAAAAAAAAAATCTTTACACATTCTTAAAATTCTACTTGGCTGCAGTTATAACAAAATAGATACATGTTTTGTGGGAAAATAAGGAAAATAAAAATGAAGCATAAAATGTTGGGTATAATATTTATTACGCACGAAATCATATGAAATAACATCACGAAACGTAAATTCAAATCTGAAAAAGTTTCTAGGTTAGAGTACACTTATCAACTTATACAACTAATGCACATAGTCTAAAATCAATTGTTGATTGTTCAAATAAAAGAAAAATGTATATATTCAAAAAAAGACAATCATAATAAACATCGCGGTTAATATATGTATTAATTTGCTTTTTAGGTTAAACACGCGCTCGCGGATCGAACGTCAATTGTCAAGTCGACCGACGTCACACGCGGCCGCATACGCGCATGGAGCCACGACGTACCATGCATTGTGCTGGAAGATGTTTCCATCGTGCGGTAAATTCCGCGTTCCGAATTGTGGCCTCCTCGTTTCTGGGTCGTCATTATTGTCCGCGATTGTCGTCACTCCGGCCATGTTCGACAGTTCGACGACGCGCCGGCGAAACGGCAGGCTTGTGCTTGTTCCCACACGGAGCGTGACATCCATTAGACATCTGTACAATCTGCATGTAACTCTAGAGCTAATAAAAGTAATAGAGATTGATGGAGATCCATGATTTCCAAGACAGATGTCAATGGATGTCCTTTACAAATCTACCATAGACTACAGGCGGCATAAATGTCCATTCTATGAAACATCAATTAGGGATATCTATATGATAACTTAGTACGCGGCACCGCCGATAGATGGAGACAGCAGAATTTTATTTCTCATAATTTAAAAAGAAAAAAGATGCAGGAGTGGAATAAATGGTGAGAGATTTTTCATGTTTTAAAGATTTTTTTGAAAAGAGAGTTTCCAAAATTAGTTTAATCTAAATGAAAGTAAATGGGATGTTTGTTTTGACAGTATGATTTTGTTTAGTTTCGTAATAATATTATCTGATACATATCGTGTTAAATATCCCAGCAAACGAGTAATGGATTGAAACGAATTGAAATGGATTCAGATTTTCAGAAATATTGATTCGATGAATGTTAAAATGAATGCTTTTCAATCCTGAATGCATTTTTATTCATTTGTAGGAATTGCATGGAGCATATCTCTATGCTTTTCAATCTAAAAATAATATTAGCTTTTTCTGTGCACACAATTGTGAATACTGTTCAATTCAAAATTTTGAATAGGAAATGCAATTTTTCAATCCAATTGAATCTAATTGAATCCAAAAAAAGGTATTCGCTATTTAAAATACTCATTCGGATAGAAAAGAATTTCAATCCATTCTCGTTTACTGGGTATCATTATCGTTATGTATTTTGTGTTTGCTGAGAATCTATTTATAAAATTTAAAAATTAAAATCTATATTAGTTATCTATCGAAGTGCTATGAAATATCTATGATTGATTCATATAACGTCTCTGCAGAAATATGAATAGGAAATGCAGAACTATATGGATATTTAATGAAAGTTTCGAATCTTCATGACGGATGTCTGATGGATGTTTAATGTCTTTAATGTCTTTCAACTAATATAGATTAGTCTCGGTTTAACTATTATATTACTCTTTATCTTTTTGTAAGTCTTATAGATCTAGAAAACGATGAAGAGAGGATTAAATTGAGATTAAAGTTAATCTACATTGAAATAAATTTAACGGACATTATATTTAGAATTAGAGAAAGATAAAGAGTTAGTTGAATCGAGATTAATTAAATTATATTAGTAGAAACGGTTATAAATGTGGAATTCTTTTCAACCGAATTTCCTGCACAGAAATATGCGTTCAGGAATTCAAGGTATATTATTTTATCCTTGCTGTTAAACTGAATGTTAAACAAGGATAAAATTATATCTGGGTATAAAATTTCTGAATGCATAAATTCATCTTTTTCTCTCCAGGAAAAGAAATGATAAACTATACAAGAATTTTGGTTGTAGAAAGAACAGGACTATAGTCGCACATTTATTCGTTTCGGTACTTTCGATACGAAGATATTGCAACTGCAATATTTATTATTCGTACTGATCAATTGCATAAAACCGAAGATAGGCAAAGTAAATCCATTTGAGGAATTATGACTCATTACAGAAAAATAGATTAGAATCTGAAGTTTATAATTAGGATTTGGAAATAAAATGTACGCATTTTTTTAAACAGAGAGATGTAAACAGAGAAATATATAGATATTGCAGCTGAATGAAACAGAAAATTCATTCTCATCTCATTTTCTATCTCAAAATAACATCAGACGTAATAAAATGAAATGAGTTAACGAGTGGAACGATAATGATAACGTCTTGTTTTCCAAACAGATTCTGTATTTTATGATAAACGAATATGAAGCACTTCAGAGACGCCAATCAAGTGTCTCTACCCCCCCCCCCTCTCTCCCCCCTCATCTGTTCATTCTTTTCGGCGTGCAAACACCGTAAACAGAATCATACGCCGCGTATTTTCGCGGCGGCATGCGTTCGATCGCGCGCGCGGCCGCAGGATCAACGACCTAAGAAAAGTGAGAGAAAGAGGGAGATATAGGTTAGGTTGAGGGTATGCGCGCGAGGTATGCGGAAGCGGGATGGGTGTGACGCGTCGCGCCGCGACGCGAGGGGTGGAAGTTGCGAGGGTGGCGCAAGTTGCGTCACCGGATGCTCCATGTCGTGCAGGGCCGAATCTCGCGCTCGTTGCACTTGGATCCATTTTTCTTCTTTTTCTTACCTTCCTCTCGGCACTCAGACGCGTCCTCGTAAATGTCGAGATAGAAAATTTTGAGAATACAAATTAGTGCGTCACTTTATGACGAGAGCAGTAAAGTTCCATTGGGATGGATTAAGATATCCACCATCTGTAGGATCAAGTATACTTGTTCAGATTTTGGTACATTTTCGAATATTGAGAGTAAACCCGAGAATAACGAACTTTGCATTTGTCTCAGGGTACAGATAGATAATTCGATATCTCCATCTGTTGGTTTCTAAATACAGTATCTCACTTGGGCCTACTATTTTTAGAAAAATCAATTTTCAATTTTCATACCAATAGGATTAGCGGAGAAGCTGCTCTATGAGATTTAAACGAATTATTGAATTAAGAGAAATCCATCTTTATAAATACATCGAATAGGGAAAAAGAAATCATATGTAAAACTCTGATTTTTAAGCATTTACTGTTATAAAGTCATTAAAATATTAAAATTAACAAATAGAGTAAAAATTGATGGAAACATATTCGACAATTTTTTAAAGTAAATCCTGGTGTTGGAAGGTTTACAAAAAAATGTAGTTTTACAAAAAATTCTAAATCTTTATCGACTCTTTTGACAGTCATTGCCTCTTCTTGTCCCGGTAACGTTGCACGCGAAATTGATTCGAGTTCAAAACATTCATTCTTCGCAGCTCTCGAAAATCATGCAATCAGGGTGCAAAATCATGTACACAGCACACAACGGCCAGAGATATAATATAGACGAATTCACCTCGCCCATCATTCAGTAGCTCACAGGATATTTCCTCTTCCAGTCGCCCTCGTTCGATTCAGCCGGCTCTCGCGCGAGGACGTGCCGACTGGCGCGATCGCCGCGCCGGTTCGTACGCGAGAATGCTTTCCCGTTGGCGACATAGCCCTTCGGTAAAATGAGAGATGGAGGGTGACGAGAGACGCAAAGAGGTGAGAAGAGGAGCGCGCGCGCGCGATTCCTGGCAACCGGTTGCCAAGGGCCACGAGGTCCTCGCGCCGCTCCTGCACGCGCCGCCTCGTCGTGGGTGGCTACCGTGACGTCCTAATCCTGCCGCGAGTCCCTAGGGGCGAGATCGATACACACCGTGATCCGTTTCCCTTTCCCTTTCCCTCCCCGTCCTCCTCCGCCGCGGCCGCTCCCGTGTTTTCGCGCGCGACGGGTTAGCGCTCATCGATCTCGTTCGGCGAACTCTCATCGGAGACGAAAAAAAAGGGTGGAGGGGGGAAAAAATAAAAGGTGAAAAAAAAAACGGGGAAGCTTGATTCTCGCTCATCTGCCGAAAACTGATCTCGCGTGATTCAGCTCGTATAAATCGCGAGACCCGCGTCGCCGGGAAACCGCTAAATTTGATCGAAAGTAAAGGTTGAAGGTGCTTCTAATTAACTCGATGGATACATCAATTCATATTTCTTGCCCTTAGGGAGATTTTATAAATCTTGTAGTTTCGTTAAATGAACTTCCTGTGAGAAATTCTGGTCCGACAATCTCACAATGAATTTTCGATCGCAGCGAACTGTATGCTTGGTGGAACTTACGATTCTTCTGGAGGTCATTAGCATTAGAAATTCTCGATACTATTGAGCTCTATACTTCTTTATTCTTATCGCACTGAAAAATAAATCTCGTTGTTTAAAAAAATATGTATAAATATACATTTATTATACTTAATTTCAATTTAACAGCTTGCAAATCAAGGATCAATACCGATACGTTAGAAATATTTGACCTAGGACAAGTTTAATCCGAATGCAGCCTCTTCCTTTCAATCCTTACGGATTCTGCAGACTTTAAACATCAGACTTTTTTGAAACTATTATTGATTCTTTCCTCGGACAATATCCTCATGGCAATCCGCAAAGAGTCTTATCCGCAACGCTACTTAGACCCTCGGCCAATTATCATCTTGCATTCTTTTGTTCCTGCGATCCATAGGGTTTCGCGACGAAAAGAGGGACGAAGAGGAAGGGCAAGGTTTGACCTTTTCGAGGGAATGGCGGGACGGATAGGACAAGGGTTGGTTCGATGCCTGTCTTTTGGGGCATCGGCCCTTGCCTCGCACCGAGGCAGGGTGAGCAGGGGCGGACGAGGAGGACCTACGCGTTATTGAGCGGCCATTTCCCACAAAGCGCAGACGAGGGCAACCACCCCGACGAAGCGCGCGGAATCCCCTCTCTCTCTCTCTCTCTCTCTCTTTCTCCCTCCCCCCCCCCTCTCTTTGTCCCTCCGTTCTCTCTCCAGCCCGACTTCTCTACTCTCCGCCCTCCGCCCTCGTCCTTTCGTCCCTTTGCGGGTTGCTCTCCCTTCGGTCTGCTACGAGCGGGAGAACCTTTCCGAGACACGAATGCACCACCTGCATTGACGCATCTTCGAAAATTTTCACCGTATTTGCCTCCTCGGTCATTGGCCTCAATTCTATAATTTTGAAACTGTTTCTAAACTACTGTCGAGCTTGTCGGATCATATTACGAGAGAATAGATTTTTAGATAGAGAAAAAGAACTTGGAGGGAGAGAACTTTAAAATCTCAGTTCGGTATTATTTAATAATATTGAAAATAATAAAGATGAGAGGAAAGTAAATGGGAAAATAGAATAATCGGGATTTTACGTAATCTGAAATCTATGTATTTCTTTATCATAATATTTTAACGTATAATATATTATTTGTGAATATATTATATATACCATATTCTAGTAAAGTTCCATTTGGGGTCGTTGTCATTTATCGATTGAATTCTAGAATTACTTAATACCTCTCACATTCGGAACAACTGGATTATATTTCGAGAATAAGATAAAGTATTTGCGTGAAATAGAGGTGATTTAAAATTAAGAAATATATCCCTAAGACATCTCTAAATAATTCTATACCTATAAATATCTTAAAAAAAAGAAATATCTATATTTATATTGGAAGAATTGACAAAGAAGTGCAACAATGATGGAAGAAATCTCTTAAATAATAGCGTTTTTGCAAACGGAGACGAAATTATCTATTCCTGATAAAACAGCACAGATAAAACGTAAGATAAAACCTTTTTGTCTCATAAACAATGATTTTTTACAATAGTTTGGAGAAAAAGAAAGAACCCTCGCGCGACTCTCGTTACGTCGCGCGTCGGGGTGCCCGGGAGGGTTGATTCGCGCCGTGCGATTCCACGAGCGAATTCGGAGGGCATAAGCCCCCTTCTACCCTCTTCTGCGGCACCACCCCGCGCGCACACCGGCGGAATATATAATCTCGGGGTCATTGCCCGAACGATCTTTGGGAGTACCGTGGTGCCTGTAACGAGGGTGAGAGACGCCTCGGAATACCGGACGTGGATATCGACCACCACTTTCCCCAAAAGACAAAAACGCGAGTCCATAATGGCGCGCGTCAGTCTCCCGCGACGATAACGTATCAACAAATATGAAAACAAAGTGAAAACAGTAATAATAATTCAACGGCACGTATTCTGGATCGTTTCGTGCGATATGTATTTCGCGATAAGTGTTTCTCTTTTAGGAAATGTCCTCCAAGTGAGCAAATAATGCGAATCGATTCCTTTTCGAAAACATGTTTTGATATTATTGCAAGATGTATTTCAATTACATTAGATTTATATTTAAAAAAACAAGTAATTCAACGGTACTGTACGGTTTCTCGGGTTCAAGTATTGAAAAAAAATGATTCGTTGTTAATTCCACATTTAGAAAAATGCGTCTGTCAATATTAAAAATAGAAAATTATTATAATGTACGAAAAGATTGAAGTTTATCTTTTGGAATTCAGCCCCGGACAGATAAAAAAAAAATTGCCTTACATTAATTCATTGAAACACCATATGTGATACAAACATCTCGCTTTATATTGTCTCATTATATTGATTTATATCGCTACCGGGTAAACAACGTAAATAGAATGGAAAATAGTACGGATAATCAAGATGATTAAATCGTCGATGCCTTCTGCGTCATCCGATACAACATCAAGCTATATTCCACTGTCGTGTGGTAGGCCGGTGCGGTCGCTTTAATGGTATGCAAATTACCGGGCAAATTTCGCGCGCGAGCTTTGTCGAGTGGGTGGGGCAGGAGAGTTGGACAAAATTGAAAGGGTTGGACCGTAGTGATTGTTAAAAAACAAATGCGAAATGCGGGCCACGCGGCTGTCCCTCGATTAATTACGCTAATGGAAACATTTTCGCATTCGAGCTGCAACAGTTGCCGATCGATATAACGCATGCGAGGAATATATCGAAGATTCGCGCAGGATTATCGCAGGGAACGACATTTCAATAAGCTCCGTATTTGTAAGCAATTAATTAACAATTTAAACATTATTTTATTCGACAGATAGAAGGCAGGGTGGTTTTTTTTTTAAAAAGCCGGATTACCCGAATCGACATTTTCAAAATTTTCATCCGGAGGAAGGCCGATGGCATTCGTGAAGCGTCACTCACTACTCACAAAGTACTGTGATGTCGCGGCATGCGACATACGAATGATACGAATGCAGATACGTAGAGATACCGGGGCGCCCGGTATCTATTTATAACGGCGACGGATCACAGGGCGATTGACCGCGTGGCCTTGACTTCCGGTTGACCCGACTATTCCTTCCCTCCTTGGGAATTTCGGCGTGACTCGTAGAATTTTCCAAAGGCACACTAATCTCGTTTTTTAATTACGAATATTCGGTAATTGTTAAAAATGATTTTCTTTATCAGCGATATCTCCGGGAGGTTGTTTGAATTAGAATTTTCAGCAGCGCTACGCTTAATTTTTCTGCAAATGAAACAAGTACATTCAGCTTCTTCGGAGGAAAGGAAAAGAGATAAGAAATAGGAAAGAACGCGGAATGTCTGAAAGAACAGGTTTTGTATCAAGGTGTTTACAATCTAAAAATTATTGTGAAATTATACATCAAGATTGAAGCCTCCGAATTTTAAACTGATTAATACGAGGTTAGGTAGTAGATTAATGAGATAACAGGAACAATAAATAATCTCGAGTTAGATACGAGTTAAATAAGCGATAATATTTATGTGAGACTGTTCAAAGTGCGTTTTTCCGTATCTGAAAAAGGTCGAACTCGCTGAAAACGATGTCGATTTCGATTCCCGTTTCTCGGGAATGCTCGATAATATATGGATGACATCGACGAATGTTCAATCTGGTCTCGCGATTTCGTTATTTACATCAAACGATCCGCCGCGAATGACTCTGTTTAGCTCGCCGCTTCGCACATCGCTTCCTTTTTCTTCGTCCCACGTCTTTCCTCCTTTCCTTTTTTTCATCGTTTTCTTTTTTCCAATCGCTCGGGAACCTGTTCGCACGAGTAGCAGCAACGGAATGTCCCAAGTGCTGCTCGCTCTCATCTCAGGCCGATCGAGCGACTGTAATCGTTCTATACTACAAAGATTTTGTTTAGTCCCAAGCGTTTATCAAAACATTAGTTTTAATCAGCTTTAGTTTTTTTTCTAAGTGTCATTATTAAAGGTAATTAATATTAATAGTAAGATAGCAACCGTATAAATACTATAAACGATAGTTAATAAATGGTTAAGTATATAAAATGTTAAAATTATGTATACTAGATTAATAATTTTTAAGTAATAATCTCAGAATGTATTGCATATAATAGTATATTATAGTATATTATTCTGAGATTATACCTTAATTAGCTCCTCTAGACAAGCTGGAAAACAGTAATATGCTTGTCCGAATTCAACGTCAATCCTCTTAGGGTTGACTTAACGCGTATAAGCCATGGATCCGCAAAGCGCAAAGCAAGTGGCTTCTGATTTTGACCGAACGTAAAAATATATCTTGCAAGAGAATTATATTAATTAGAATAAGTGAAAGGGAAGGAAGAAGGGAAGCTTGTAAGAGATTCGCGGAGGTGGATGCCAAGGAACGAAGGCTAACGACCTTGACCTTGTCCGTGATATGTGAGATTGTGTGCGTTTGTGATCAAGAAAGCGAAAGAGAGAGAGAAAGAGAAAGAGAGTGAGAAATGCGAACGACACGAGAAGAGACATCGGTCAAAACCGATGGCCTGCTTTCTTGAACGTTCTTCTATACGAAGTCGATGAGAATGAACGAACCCAGCGAGATTCGAGATAGACGAGGCCTGATGACTAAGACGACAACGATGCCGGGTGTCCTCGATGAGCCCTTGCAAGTGGCAAAGTGATTGCGTTGTGACACATCGTGCATAATGCACTGTTTAACTCCAGAATAGCGATTCTAGAGGAGAGAGCGGAAAAAGAGAGAGCGAAGGCGAGGAAAAGAGAGAGTGAGTGAGTAGTAAGAGAGAGAAAGAGATTGTGTTTGACATAGCATTATACATATATACATTGTTTTGCGACAATCTTTTCCAGCAAGTGTGGCAAGTTATTTTAAACTGAGGAACTCGGTAATACTTAGAAATGACGTTTATAAGACGTAAACAAGTTACATAGATCTGTTTACAACTTGATATTCTCGACATCAGTAACTCGAGCTTCCGGTATTCGATTTTACCGTTAATTTCAGATTCCATCAAGTTTTCTTCAAGTAGGTTAAAGGCTGTCAAATTCACGATTGGTTCTATCCGTAATATTAATCGGCCTTTATTAGAGATATAGAGGCAATGCGAGAATTGATTGTTGAATCGCGTATAATAAGTCTCAAGGCCATGTTTCGAGATTGAGCCTATTTTCGATAGAATCACGATTACGACTAATGTATTACAAGCACTTGATTTATTCTCCAAGAGCTATCTCGAAACTAATCTCTCGACCGAATTCCTCAGCAGAAACTTAACTGTGAATATGAACTTCGATATTTTGATTAAACTTGCTCTGTGAAATTACGCATCAACTGGAATATTATTAATTCCATTTTTAATCGTAACACGTTAAAGTGTTATGATTTGTCTAAAATCTCTGTTACAGGTATCGGAAAAAATGTTGAATTTTCATCAGCACATTTTCACCGTTACAACCATTGAACGGTCAGAAACTTATGTATTCTCTACTTAATTCGTTCTAATTCATTTTTTATCTACTTCCATTAACAATCATACAGTTTATCATATAAATTTTAGTTGACTATTATCATCCATTTACAGTTTGTCGATGTGACAAATATTTCATCGGAGAGCAGGTAAATAAATTTTTACATAATTTGAAATACTTATTAATAAGTGTATTACGTTGCAGCTGATTTCGACTGCAACGTGCCTTTGTAATTGTACATAATATTTCTGTCCAAGTAAAAGATTTTTTTTTTCTCACACCATTATTTATTTTTCCTATTTTTGCAAAATCTCAATAATTAAGGTTAATGTATATTTCCGATCGCTATCTTCTCGCGACAATCGCGCATCGATTTACTCGCACGACATCCAGCTCGTCAATGAGAGGTACACCGGCGGCGAGTCGACGACCGGCAAGCTTCGCGGGGCGTCGCGGCGGTGGAGGGATGCTGTCCGCATCGAGTCGAGCTGCGTCGCATCGCGTCGCGTCGCGAGGAAAAGAAGAGAAAATTGCACGGAAGGGCGGAAGGGAGGGAAAAATCCAGCCCGCCGACTCCTGACCTCCAGGAGGAGTAGGAGACGTGAGCGAGGTCGTTCTGCGATCGATCGATAAACGCGCTCACGCTCTGCATCTGCAAGGTGCGAAGGAACTCGGCGTACGGAGAGAAGGGAAGAGAGAGAGAGAGAGAGAGAGAGAGAGAGGAAAAGAGAGGAGAGAAAGGAATTGGTAGATAGAGAAAGAGGAAGACAGGATAGGGAGAGATCGCGAGGGGGCGCATATGCGAGAGGAGAGAAATCGAGAAGGAAACCGCCCCTGTCATTTGTGTGATAAATACGATTTCTCTTGATACGCAATGAATGTTGCTAATGTTTACAAATATTCCGTGAATTGGTAAATACATATGAAATCATTGTTTTAACTTTAACGAATTCGCGATTTTAATCAACATTTGCATTTCGAAGATGGAATACAATAATATCGAATTATTATATGTATCACTCGACAAACATATAAATTTCCAAATATGCGTGATAAAATATATGTTTACATTTATTGAGTAAATTATTCCAATAACAATAGAATTATTATTATAGAAGAATTATTATTATATCTGCTATATCAATTTTGTTCTTCAATTTTTTTTCTTACGTATATTCCCATTCTGGACAAAATATTGTTTTTTAATTATTTTTCCTGCATCTCTCTTTTTTATCGAATCACGCTTTTTTTATTAGTGAAAAAATAACTGTGTTAGAGGATTTCTAATATTTTTGCGTTTACAGGATTCCAGCTTTGATTGAAAAAACGAAACAATAATAATTCAGTAGAGAGTTTGTATTGGTTTGATATATAAAATTTTTTCCGAGAGAGCACCCCTGCAGAGACGGCGAAAGGATCGGAACAATCGATCCTTCGGTCTGCGGAAAGAGAGCGCGAGAGCCGGCTTCTTCCTCTCGCTCTCCTCGTCCCTCTCTCTGTGTCTCTCTGCCCCCTATCTCGCTTTCTCTCGATGACTCGTCCCTTTCAGGTAGCCGACTACGAATTCCGGAAACTCTCTAGAGAAGCGGACTTTGTACATGGCCAAGCAAATTGCACAAATGAATGCGCTACGGGGATTTAAACAAACTCAGTTGCGGAGATTAAAATCGAGAATCAATTGAATCTTTTTTGTCTGTGAGAAAAATTTCGTCACGAGTCTATACGGTCTATACGGAGACTTCTTGGGATAATTTTCAGGAACGTTTTCAGGATGTTCAGAAGATATATATGGATATGTAATCGGGGGGAAGCATAAAAATTAAAAAAAATTACACAATTACGAAATTAATTTTCAAAAAAGAAGAATTAGAGGTGGAAGTTGTAGAAAGATTTTTTGAAAATTCAAAACGGCTATAGTGTTATAATTTTAAGTTTTTCTAGTTCGAAGAATCAGTTTACAATTAAAAAAAAAATCAAGTAAATTAGTTTAAATATGTGATTTATCTTCTAGTAATTAATTAAAAATAGTATAAAACAAAACAAGTACGACTCGACTACTCTATCCCACTCCCGGGTTAAAAAGTCTCAGTTCGATTCCAATTTGATTCTCCCTCCCCTAAACAAAATCCTGGCTACGCCCATGTATACGTCCTAGTTGGATATTTTTAGAATGTCCTTTGAAGGTCTGTACTATATGAGAGAGTATGTCGCAGGATTCCGGACAAAAGATTCGCGGATCTCTCTTTTCACATTATCATTAAATTATCAAACATTATTGACTATGTGATTCATCCGTTCAGGTTGATAATGAGCATGTTTTTTTTTCGTAAAAGCGAGTAGACTAAACACGCGGTTCGATCTTTGCGTGGCTACAGTGAATGGATGAACGAGGGTGAGCGTACGCGCCGTCACCCAACCCTTTCCTCTTCGATATCTTCTGCCTCTCCTTCTCTCTCTCTTCTGCTCCTATGCTGAGAAGCTTTCTTTACATTTTCACTTTACGAGTTTATTTCAGTCAGTGATTCTGACCTTTATTTAGCAACGACGTGCCACCGTCTGCCTGGTACTCGCAGGACGTTCGGCACAATCGGTACACTCGATCGTTACTTATTGATAAAAATATTTTTCATTTCTTCTCCCTGTCTTTTGTCGCGATAAGTATAACTTACAGATCGTTCCCAAGTGAAAACGATCTGTTTTCGGACAGAGTTCAATAGGACTCTCTCGGAGGAGAGCGAGCGTAATGAATGTCTTCCCTCCCTCCACCCTCTTGTCGTCCCGCTCGCTCACCGCCGCATCTCCCCCCATCGGCAATCCACCGCTGCCGCGGCGCTCCGTGCGTTTCGCACTACTGCCAACTGCAGCACATCGAAACTCGCCGGCGTGGTCGCGTCACCGGTTCGTCCGATCCTTCTCTCGTGTCTCGTTTCGTTGTAATCGTGCGCTCGTTGAATCGGCCGTCTTCGTCGCGTCGACGACACGAGCGTTCGCTCCCTCTCGCTCGCGACCGACGTCGACCGAAGCGACGCCGAGTCTCGCGCGTGTGTTGAGTGGCGGCAACGCAGACAGGCGCGGCCGCCGGAGCCCCATCGTTTGGTGCGGCCGACTGCAGCGCCGCTTATCGGCGACTATCCTCAGTTTCGGGCAAGATGGGCGCACCTCGCCGGGCAGTAGCTTAGTCTCTACCTACAAGACAACACACACATTAAATGTTTCCTATAGTAACAATTAACCAATTGTACATTAATCTTATTTAAGGGAAACACGGAGGAGAGAGAGAGAGAGAAAGAAAGACACTCCAAACGCTCCATATTACACGTTCTACACGCAAGTTCTATTTTTGTAATAACGCGCCGTAAATTAAAAAGTAAGTGTGTGCTCTCACCCCGCGAGGCACGCGGTGTAATTCGTACGACCGTTGAGATAGGAAAGGAAAGAGCCGTTCTACCGTGGAAGAGGTAGCGAGATTCGAGATAGAGATTCGTAGTGCGCGGGAAAACGAGACGAAGACGGAGGAAGAACTGAAGAAGTGAACGAGGAGGAAGAAGCGGCAGAGGAGTATTAGAGAAAAAAGAGGAGCGGCCGTTGTGTGTGCGTATGTGTATGTATGTGTGTGGTGCGCGTGTGTGAAGCAACGGCTAGTAGTTTAGTTGGGTGATTGTCGTGACGACGACGACGACGGCGACGGCAACGCCGAGAGTGAGCGAGGCGCGAGGAGGTCGCCCCGCTGATTTCGTTCTCCACGAGAACGGAGCCATTAGGAGAGAAATTCGGAGGATTGTCTCGTCGGCGATCTACAGCGGTTTCGTGCCGACGCGACGCCGCCTTCGAGATTCGGCGACAGTAGTCGGTAGCGGTCGAGCAGCGGCGACAACCGTAATTGCAACGGCAGCGGCAGCAGTAACGGCAGCAACGGCAGCAACGGCATCGCGCTTGAAACGAGTAAGCGCGTAAGCGGCGGCCGATCTACACTCGGTGCAGTTTTTACGGTCGGTCGGTTGCGCGGCGCCGCTGTTAGTCGTATCTCTCCGTTTCGCGGAGCGGCGCAACGCGGCGCAGCAGCGTGCGCTCTTTTTCACTCTCTTTTCTTTTCTCTCTTTCTTTTCCTCTTCGGGAAAACCCTGGTCGGGTGAGTGCAGTGCGTGCATGCTGATGCATGTGTGGCGTGCATTTGTCCGTTCGATCGTTCATTTCGTACCGTGTGTAGAGTAACGAGAGAAAAATCAACGACGGCGTCGTCGTCGAGTACGCGGAAAAAGGTGCGCAAGCGGCGAGAGTGTACGGCACGACCGACAGACCGACCAACCGACTAACCGGCCGCCGGTGCGTGCCGTGCGGTAATTTAAAAGCGTTACAAGTGTGGTGAAAAGTGCGCTCCACACGATCACGACACACCCTCTTGACATCCGTCGTCGCTCGCATCGCCATCGGCTCGGCAGCGGCCTCTTTCTCTTGAATTCCCTTCCCCCTCCTTTCTCTCTCTCTCTCTCTCTCTCTCTCTCTCTCTCTCTCTCTCCTCTCCCTTTCTCTCCCTCTCGTTATCCTATCTCGCTTCTTATTCCATAATTTCGCTAACGTATCTCTCTTTCTATCCTTCCCCTCTCCCGCATTCTTCTTCGTCTCTAACCGTACATACGTTCGCTCTTTCTCTATTCAACAGCGTAAAGTGATTTATCATCACGTCGGATTTCGTGACGAGCACAGTGACGACAACGACAACAATAATAACAATAACGACGGTGACTAGGCCGTTAAAAGTAGAGGTACGATACGGTACGATACGGTACGGTAGAGTACAGTAGAGTACAGTAGAGTACAGTAGAGTACAGTACAGTACAGTACAGTACAGTACAGTACAGTACAGTACGGTACGGTACAGCACGGTACGATCAGTCCCTACCCTCTCCACCCCCTCCTACGCCCCTCATTGGGCCATCCCTCGTCGCTGCACGCCGAGCAAGCAGCAGCGTCTCGCCCGGTATTCTTACACTACGTCGCCGGCCTCACACACGTATATTCCCTTTCTTTCTCTCACTCTTCGCTTTGCTTCAGTTTCCACCGTGCGGCCGATCGAAAGAGTGCACGAATTTGCGTTTTGGTCATCTGTCTGTCTGTCTGTACGTGCCGTACCGTATCGTGCCGTGTCGTGTCGTGCCGTGTCGTGCGAGTGCGCTACAGTGTGTAATTTTTCTCTGCTCAGTTGTCCCATCAGTGCCGGCGGTGAGCGAGGAAACTCGTCGCGCGGTGTTGCAGTGCGGCAAGTGACAACGTCGTCGGCCGCGGAACGGCGAGAACGAGGAAACGCCGACGAACGAGTGGAAGAGGCGGAGGCGGAGGAGGCGGAGGAGGAGGAGGAGGAGGAAGCGACGGCTGTGCGGGAGGTAAAAAAGGAGGAGGAGGAGGAGGAGGAGGTGAAGGAACCAGAGTGGCGGCGCGAAAGCGACCGGCGGCGACGGCTGACGGTGGTTTTTAGGCTGCGCACCGTCGCGCCGGCGTATTTTGTTATTGTTATTATTCTCATCGGCGGCTGGAGTAGCTTCTATCGTCCACCGGTGACGTGACGGATTCCTCTACTTCCTACGGTACAGCCATATCGCGACCATGTCTGTGAGAATGGAAAACGTGGCCGCGCGGAAGATCAATTATAAAATGATGGTAAGTATATGATTGTCCTCTGTGACATACACGCACACGCGCGCGTGCGCGCATCACACACACACACACACACACACACACACAAATATGCACGCATACGCTCGTTCTCTTTATCTCTCTCTTCCTTGAACCCTCTCAGCCGATCGACGGCGACGGCGACGGCGGGTGCGCAATGCGCGTGCAACTCGCCGCTTACTTCGCGCAGCTCCGTCGTGCGCGCGAGCGCGTGCTAACGTGGCGTGCGACGCGAACTCACGATGCCCCGTGTGTTCGCGCTTTGTATCCCTCACCATCCTTCTCTCCTGTTTCTCGTCGCTATCGCCTCCGTATTCCATAGTTTGTGCAAATGGCTCGATATCTTTCTGTACATTTATTTGGATCTCCTCCGAGAGTCCGAAGGACCTTCCCATACCCAAAAGGACTGTTGGTTCCTTTGTAGAATGTATCGTCACAATTCTAGGAAAATACTTGCTTTACGCACGTTTACCTAATGGACTTCTGACCTCCAAGGAACGCGATATCACGACTTATTGTCCAGTTACCTTGGCATTTGTTTTCATTTCTGCTTCTCGTTTCTATGAAAAGTAATAAGAATATGTATATTTTTTTTCCATTCAAGATATTTCTTATACGCGTAAGCGTAGCAGGAGCGAATCCGGGGGCTTGACTTTTATTCCCAAATAAATTCGGAATGCAGAAGCATGATATATCGTAGATAAAGGAGCGCCTAACCTAACCTAACTTATCTTCTATTCTTTCCTTCTCCCTCCTCTTATCTCTTCCTTCTCCCATGATATGTTTTCTCAAAGTCGCGTTTCCGCACGCGGGCGCTTGCTCGTGTCTCCACCAGAGAGTATCGAGGAACATTCGCGTGTGCGCGCGCGCGCACACGCGTAGTCGCGGAAAAGCCATGGCGAGTTTTAATCATGGGGGCGGTCGACGGACGACGGGCGACGAGAGGACGGAGGGACGGCTTGCGGAACCGCCGCTGTAGTTTGACAGTTTGCCGCGGGGCGTCTGGCTGCTGCCCCACCCAGTCGTCTCTTTCTCTCTCTCTCTCTCTCTCTCTCTCTCTCTCTCTCTTTCTCCCCCGCCAGGACGTTCGTTCGTCCGTCCGTCCATCCGTACCTCTTTCGACCGTCTCACTATGTCTGCCGTAACCCTCCCCCCGTTGCTCCATGCTATCCGCTTTGCGTTTTCTCTTTTTCTCTCCGCCGCGCTCCTCTTTCGCTCTCGCGAACACTCGATCCGTCCCGAGTTCCTTTCGGCCACATATTTCCCCTTTTTCTCGTAATCCTACGAGTTAACGCGGTTCTACACACTCGACAGACAGACGGCTGATATATTATTCGTTCAGATATTTCATTTGGAGTATTTTATTTGTTTCTCAAGTTTAATACATTATTTAGAATTTACGGTAAATCTCTTTCAAGATGAGAAACGAGTCTGGTATTTGTTTGTATCGTGTTATATTGGTTAAGATTGCACACGAGTTCATTAAGCCCCACTGAGAATCAAGGTTCTCCAATCTTTATCTACTTTTCTGAAAAATGACCGGAAATGGGAACATTCTTCTCTTCGACAAAGAACATTCTATTTTTATTCCATTTTCTAAGTAGACTGATAAAAACTTTACTTTTAAGTTCTACAATCAGCAAGCACGTTGTTATTATCGAAAATATGTTACTGATATAAATTGTGAAATGTTAAACGAACTACATAAGCAAAAACATTGACCTTTAAATCGAAACGTTTCTTATGAAGCAATGGATACAATAATATATGTTGGCATATTTTTATTGTATATCAATATATATTTATGAGAATAGCTAGTGTTATAAAATAACACGTAGTATAAATGAATGTTCTTTATAAGCTGTACATTAATTAAAGCTATTTTTATATTATACACTTCAGGAAAAATGTGTTAGACATCTTGAAGAGGTTTTAAGAAAATTAAAGATGTGTCCAGCTGATAAAGTTGTCGAAAGACAATTTTTCCAATTTTTCACAGTTTTTTTTAAAAGCATTTTTTTTACATTTGTTTTAATAGGGTCCCAAATATTTCAAGGCTTTCAGTTTGTAATGGCTAAATCTTTGAATTTTTTTCTCTCGGAGAAACAAATATAATACAATCTGTCAAACTATTCATCAATCTATTCATTCCTGCGACGATTCAAGGACTAGTACAAGTTTAGCTAAATATATCTCTTGTTTCTCACATTTTATGAACAAAAGTGAGAGACAAAGTCATGGAATTAGCAACGTGAGGTGTAAGCGTTATGGTATTTAAAAAAATACGGCCTATAACATTCATGGCAAGGTAATTTCGCGAAGTGAGCGTTAGAACGAACTCGTTGAGAACAGAGCGAGGGAAGAGGGGACAGTCGGGGTCGAAAAAGATGTCTAGAAAGGCATGCGTCTCGCTAGACGAGAGTAGGAATTCGGCGACGGATAGTACGGTGCTGCAAGTTGCAACGACGTTCTCTCAGTTGTACAAGTTGCTAATTTTAGTTTGGAACCTGAGACGCCAAATGCTAGAAATTCAATGGGCATCCCACTGTCCCTTGCGGGGTCAGTAATTAATCCTTTAAAAACTCAGAAGTCGATCCCAAAAATTGGAGGAAAGTCAAAAGACTTTGTCGTCTTAGTTTGAAAAAAATGTTCTTTTATTCTTATTAAAAGAGAATCTTTAGAAATGTAGGAGTTCAATTCTTCAAGTACTTCAAAATTTTCAAGTTGGCTTAGTCAGATTTGAAGAAAGAAACATACAACCTTATCGTTAATTAATTTATCAATAATCTATTTTAATTTTTGCAAAGATTTTTACATATTGATGATATTTCAAAGCGCATTATTATGCGTTTTTAATAATAGAGTATCGTGGAAATGGCGCACAAAGTTTACCCTTGTTTAACGCAACTGTCATCGTCGTCATCGAGGAGAGGAGAGGTTATCGAGCACGATGAACGGGTTCAAGTTACTTTACCGTGATCGGTGTCGTCGGGAGGAGTCATTGTACAAAACAGCTGTTCATCTCTCGCAACGAGCACTGTCTGAGATTGAGATTTTCCTTTATGCGCGCTTTTTTTTTTATCGTGGTGCGATAATTGGGCGATTCTTATACCGGGTGATTTGACGTTTCCATTATGCTTTGCGCTGTACTAAATATTTCAACAGATCTAATTTAATTTTGCTAATTTGATTCTGCTTAATGGAGGTGCATGCGAGATTTAGTTTTTAAATACATACGTAAACTCAGAAAATAATAGTAGCAACTAAAGATGACAATTAGGTAAGTTTTATATGTAGAATTAACGTAAATAATTTACGTAATAAATTATACGTAATAAATTATTTTATAATTATTGCAGACATATCATAGTTTACCCAACTATATGTATTAATTCTAGATATAAAACTTGCATAATTGTTACTTTCATAGTTGCTATCATTATGATTTTTTTTCTCCGTAATATCCGCAATGTATGTAAATAAAGCGAATCCGTAGCGTATGTAATAAAAAAAAAAGTCGTAATTAAACATTGATGCAAAGAGAATCGCTATTTATGATGCAATACGAGACTTTAATAATAATTTAACACTCGCAAAAAATAATTTATAAACAAGTAATATATGCATTTAGAAATTAATCGTGAAACTGTGATGATGACGAAATAATTTTCCGTGAGAAATGCGAAAAACGCGTCGAGTAATTAAATCTTTTCGCACCTTGTTCGCTCGTAATTGGCTAGATCACGCATTAATTGCCGCGAGATAATATGCAATTAATGAGCATCGCATCACGATATCGGACATGCACCTTGCACTTTGTAACGCGTACGCATACATGCATGTGTAAACGTGCGAATGTTAAGGGCTCCGTGATACAAGATCTTATTAATCCAACAATTCCGAGAATTAATTCTGTGTAAAACGGTAAAAATATTGCTGGTGTACAGAAGTGTTGGATCCTGTATTTTATAAAGGAGAATAGGTTCTGCTTTAAAACATTTTAAACAGATAACATTAATGAGACAAAGCAATATCAGAATTTAAAATTCTGTCCATGAGTGGACTATACATCTATGTATACGAAGGAAAGAAGAAACGTTATCGTAAATGCATTTTGCTTCTTCGAATTCACGGTAATCGATTGTCATCGGAATCACGTTGAGGTTCGAAGAATCGTCTGATAAGATCGATCGCATACCAGTATAAAAAAAATCCTGTCTTTCTTTTTATCGCTTTTTTTTTTTTAAGACAGATAACCGTGTACCTATTTTGTTTGTGTCCTTATCGAAAGTGCTGATAATACAATCGCACTTTGACTAAATAAACTCGTGAGATAAAGAGAAAGCGAACGCGCGCGGATTTCCTTCGGGTTTGAAAGTCGCTTAACGACGAGCTAATGTCTTTCCAAGTTACTCGTCGACACAACGGGACTGTTATCTCCTCAATTTTCCAATCTTCTCACAGCGCGTCACTGTCGCTATGCGATATTTTTTTATCGTGTTCTAATACACAGTGATGATAAGTAATAATCGTACAGTTGCGTTTAATGATTGGAAGTTTATTTGCCGCGAGAACATTTTTATAAAAGTTAACTTCTCTCGATTTCTAGATAATTTTCAAAAGTGTTTATCTCATAATACAATTTTTTTTAATTGGAATTTTTTAATATGATGTTTTTATTAAATTGTCTACATTTTTTCGCCATATTTACATATTTTTGCATCTTTCCTGTTGCGTGAAATTTGAAAAGTGCTTTTTTTTTTTTTTTTTCATTTCATCAAGTTCGATATTGCGCGAGATTTCCTGGTCGAATTGCAAATCGAACGTGCTGGAGAATCGTTCGTTATTGTCGTTGTTTAAGCGTGCGCATACAAATGCGTTCAGCGTGATTGATTCACACTTTGTTTTATTGTGGATTTTTTTGTCGAACTGCATAATCATGGCGTGACGAGCGATGAAACTGCCGGGGGGGGGGGATAATCAAA